CCATCCATCCATTATTGTAACTGTTTATTCCCTAATGGGGTCGCTCTTCTATGAATAGTGGCATGAGTGCAATTGATGTTTGTCTTCATTGTTCTGGCCAGACAACCTGTGAAGATTTAGAATTAAATCAGCTACCTACACAGTCTTTGACAGGTCACAAGTTTGGATTCTACCCCAGCATCTTCTTCCCAATACTTATTCTTCATATTTATCCTTAGTGCTTTTGTTTATACATATTCATTAGTTAAAAAGGTTTCTTTTCAGATACAGTAAATATTTTTTTAAGTACTTTCTGCTTTTAACCCCAACAGATATGAGGAATTTCTGTCTTTATTTCAAGATTTCAGAGGTTGTTGCTTAAAATATGATGTTATGTGCAGTCTGAGTTCTTCAGATTGAAACCAATTGGCTGATTAATCGGATCGTGTTGCCTTTAAGATATACATAATTTACAAGATAGTTATGACGTTTGACTGCGGTGCAGTTATGACCTTGCCACAGAAAACAGTAGTATTCAACCTCAAAGATCAGCAGACCTTTATCTAACTTAATAACATGTATTAAGTGGCTAAATAAAACTAAAGGTTAAATTACAAACAAATTCCAAACTAACTTACTTTTCCTCTCACTTTTGAGTATTCAGGAAAAATTCTAGTGAAATAGTTTTTAAAGGAACTAATAGAAATAGAAAAGAAAATAGAAAATAATGAAATTATCAACAAAAAAAGTTATTCTAGAAAAAATATTGATATTATGTAGGATTTATGAAATGAATTCATTTCCACTTTTTCACCTCAGACTCAAGGCAGTGCCCTGCTGCTCATCATCATTTTGGGCTTTGGAGGAAGCTTTCAGTCTGGTTACCATATAACTGGACTCAGTTCCCCTTCACCAGTGAGAAAGAAAAAGCAATGTTTCTCAGCTTTTCCTTGTTTTTGTTTTGTAATGATTGATGATTATTTCATTAATATCTTCTCTGCAGTACATTCAGCACTTCATCAACAGCACCTGGTATGACAGATACAAAGAGCCTCCAGCTCCACAGAAGGTCACCATGATCTGGTCTCTTATGGTCTCCATGTATGCTGTTGGGGGACTCTTTGGTGCTGTCAGTGTCAAACTCTTCTCGCGGAGACTGGGGAGGTGTGTATGCAGCTTACAAGTTAAATATAAATACAATCTCAGATAAATTCTTTCCTATAAGAAGGCAGAGATAACCCATTTTCAACACTCTGAGAGGCATGTTTTAAAAACCCATAGACAGTCATGATCTTGGCACTGATGACTATTCATTTCATTCACCTGTCTAACTCATCTGATCCACCTGCTCCTGCCTCTATTTAAGGCGCTCACATCCAGTCATCAGACCCAGATTATTTTGTTCTCTCTAGCCAGTGGTGAGAGCGTTTTTAGCATTTCTGATTTCCTGATCCTGACCTGTTCTGCCTCTCAACCACTGAGCCCACCTGTTCCTTTCTGAACGTTATGCCTGAATACTGGGTCCCTCTGTTCTGAGTTATTACATCGACTCTTTCATTTACTACACTTGTCTAATGGAGGCCCAGCCGCATGTTAGCAAAGAAAACCTCCTTTCTAGAGTAATACTTTTGTTCTAAGATTGTTGACACAAGCAGCAAAAAGGCGGCCAGCCTTTCCAAGTTTTTTTTGTGAAAAAGAAAAAAGGAAACAGAAAACTCTCACAGCCAGACAGGAATGGCTTGGTCAAATTTAGAGATGAAGAAATAAATATGACCCGAGGAAACTGTCCCAGTTGCTGTTCAACACAGTTATTAATAATAAGCTCTTCACACCTACAGCTGTGGACGCTGAGATCCACACTGGAGTACATTTATTTAATGACTTACACAGAATGAGGCCCAAAGCCTTAAAAAACTCAAAACTAGTGATTTGAATCATTATTGTTCTTATCAGTACTTAGAGTTCTTTAGATTATGGTAAATTGAGTTACCTGCTGTGTTTTATGTTGTTAGAGAAATGTTTTTTTTTCCAGGGAGTTCATGACTTTGGTACAAGGGTAGTTCTGTTCACACAGCACTGGGCTGGTTTTTAGTAGCACTTTTGTTTTCTACAATGAAACAAACAAAACAACAAGAACTGTAGTTTTGCCCGTATTGGTATTCAAAGTAGCCTCTTGTCCAGGTTGAAAAACTTTTTTTCATCATGCAAATCTAGCTGAAATACATGTAGCTTAAAAAGTGTGTTAAAAACTGTAGTTATATTTTTCCCTTCCTCAGAAAGCAAGCAATGATCTGCAACAGCTTAATTTCCATTATTGGAGCAGTGATAATGCTGACAAGTAAGGAGGCGAAGTCCTTTGAAATGATCATTGTGGCGAGGACGCTGTATGGATACTCTTCAGGTGAGCTGATTCTAAATCACTTGAGACCCATCTAACGAGTGTGTAGTTTGCACTAGAGGTGTGATCACTACTGTTAAACATTGTAACGTGCACCACAGGTTTAGGAGTGAGCCTCCATTTAATGTACCTGGGGGAGATTTCACCTAGGAAGATCAGAGGCCGAGTGACTCTAACTTCAGCCACTTTTACTTCACTTGGTAAACTTTCAGGACAGTTTTTCGGATTAAGGTTTGCATCTTAAGTCAATCTCCATAATCTCTTTATTTTGCACGAAAATGACTGCACTGGACCCAAAGTTAAGCTGCAGCCCCATATTTTGTCTTTCAGTGAGATTCTTGGCGGTCAGGACGTTTGGCACATTCTCCTCTGTGTCCCTGTGTGTTTCTCCGTGGTTCAGGTTTTGGTGCTGCCTTTTCTTCCAGAGGCTCCCAGATATTTATTTATAGAGAAAGGAGATGACATAGCCTGCAAAAGCGGTATGCATTTATTTATTTAATAGACCAAATCTGAAAGTTGTTTTTTTTCATTTTGAATTTCTTGGTAATTTGTTTCTCTGCTCCAGCCCTCCAGAGTTTATGGGGTAACGGTGACTATAAGGAAGAAATGGAAGAGATGTTGATTGAGCACATGGCTCTTGAAGCTTCTCCACCAAAGAGCCCTCTGCAGCTGCTGAAGAACAGGACGGTGCGATGGCAGCTCATCACCATGTTCGTCATTTACTGTTGCAACCAGATGTCCGGCATGACAGCGGTGAGGATGATCTTCATTTCAGACATTTTCTTTTTAAATCGATGAACCTTGAATTCCTCTCAAAGCATTGCCCAGTGTCTCTGGAGGAGCTGCAAAGATTCAGGGTGGAAAAATTTGTTTATACTGTAGGAGAAGTGGAAGTCTTGTCTTACGGGGAGAGAGGCAATAAGAAATGCAGTGCTTAAAAAATCCCAAAAAAAATCACCAAACAGAGACTATTATTCACACATACATACATTTTTTGAAGTTTGTGATTTTTAACCTGTCAAAATGTGAAAAACATTTCTAAATTATTTTGCAAGACACTGTGTTAAATAATCCCACAGGGTTGTTACAAAGGAGACCTATTTGTGGAATCATTAAGGTACCTTCCTCCTTCCTAGATCAGCACCTTCTCCTTCGACATCTTCCTGAATGCTGGTGTTCCAAGAGACAAGATCCGCTACGTCACTCTTGGTCTCGGAATATCTGAAATCCTCACCTCCATCTCCTGTGTGAGTAAAAAACCCTGTCTTTCCTCCTTCTGACAGACCAAAACACAGAAACATCTTTTTGATTAGTTTGTCTTTATAATAAGCAAGGTAAACATTGTGGAAACTTTAGAATAAGAGTGTTGTAGCAGCTGCTCTGAGTCTCAGATGTTTCAAAGGAAAAACATGCAAAAGAGAAAATTAGAGTATGAAAAGCACTTGTATTTTTTGATTTTTTTTTTTTGCCTTTTTATTTATTTTTTGTGTCCTTTCTTCCCTGTTTCCTACCTTCCTTTCTTCCTTTTTTTGCATACTTTTTCTCTTTTATCTTTCCTTTCAATGCAGCCCCAATTTGCTTTTATCAGCCCCCCTTTCCTGTCTGTGTCTTCCCTCGTGTTCCTCCATCTTTTAGTCGTTCTTTCCTTATGTGTTTAATTGCTTTAACCTGTTGGGTTCTTCCTTCCTTTGTCCCTTCTAATCTAATGTCTTGTTCTTTCTTCTTTTTTATTTGTCAACATTTTCTTCTTACCCAAATTCCCATCTTCTTCAATCTTTCCTCGTATTCTAACTCCATTCCTTTCTCTTGTTCTCCTCCTTTTCTTATTTTCCACCTTATGTGATTCCATCTTCCATTCATTCTGTCATTTCATTTATTCCTTATTTATCTCAGTCTATCTTTGTCACACCTCATGCCCTTCATTCCAGTCTTCCTGATGTCCTACCTCCATTTCTTCTTGGTATCCTCCCATTAAGTCTTATTGCTAGCAAAACTATGTTGATGTGTTGCTGTAGAACTTCGAGAGAACTTTCACATTTTATACGTTGCCATAAATATAAGTGGATCAGTTATTTCTGGAGTCTGGAAAAGGTTTGGATTTTATTTTAGCAGAATAAGTGTGAAGACTGACTAGTTTTATTTAGATAAATATAAACATATTTTTAAAAAAGTGTTATTGATGTCACTGAATCACAGTCATTTATTTTTTATTCCGCAATGTTTTTGTATAACTTCTTTTCCAACAGAGTCTTGTGATAGAAAATACAGGGAGGAGGCCGTTGTTCTGGGGAGGATATGCTGTCATGTCTGCTATCTGGATGGTGGTAACGGTCATGTTAAACCTAAAGGTAACCATGCAAAGAATGATTAAATATAATATCATAAAACTATTACAGGAATGATTCAAAGGTTTGTTCAACTACAGCAACTACCTGTTGGGGTCACGAGGGGTGCTGGTGCCTAACTCCAGCTGTCTTTGGTGTCCAAAGCTGTCCATCCATCTCATCAAGTCATCATGTTCAGATTGGACTCACTTGATGAGATGACTGGAGTCTGGTGTTCTATTGCTTGGTTTGAAAGAAAACCTGCTGGAACCAGCTTGACACTCCTGCTCTAGAGTAATAAGTAGATGGATTACAAGATGATTCATCTGAATCAGGGTTTTATTGATCACTGCTTAAGATACCTTAATGGGTGCTTTCATTTGCTTTGTAATAAATATTTCTTATCTCCTGTAGAGTCCACTTGGTTAATTTCCCTAAATATATGGCATCAAAGGTAAAGTTTTTGTTCCAATAACGGATTTGGCTGCAGAAAATACCTTGTTCCAGTAGGAGGCGTTATCAGGACAGTTCCAAAATGCGGAAACTGACAGCAATGCCCAAACTCAGGGTTCTTGATTATTGGTTACCTCTTTTTGGGAGTGGTAAAAACACTTAAACAACTTTTCAACACAGATATTTGGAACTATTAGTAATGGATGGTGTTTTTCAAATATTGAACCCCTCCTTTTCTATTAATCTGACATTGGCATCTTAATCCAATCTAGTTTTAACATACATCCCTCTTTCTGCATGATAGAGGAAATTCTTGAAATCAATTTTGACCCTTTTTCTAGCAGTATTTTTATTTAATTATTTCAATGTTGTCTAAGCTGTAAATATTTTAGAAATCTTGCTGTTCTATATTGAACACTTTTATAATCTGTTTTTAGATTCCTTTGGTTGGAATTCATTTAGTAAGAATATGAATCAGTTTTTGATTTTTTGTTTAAACTTTAAAGCTACCATCTAATTGAGCTGGCTCCAAATTAGAGTTATGAGCAGTTCAACTTCTGATTTTTATATTATACCAAAGGAGCAGTAATCCTTTTAGAAAGTTTAGCCAGATCTTCCTTTTGAAGTTTTCTGTTCCAAAGAATAGACGGCAGTGGTTTGTCTATGCAATATTGCTTCAATGTTGGGTATATTACCCATATTTAAAGGGTTTCTACACTTTGTGCAACAAAACAAAGACAACACCACTTTCTTTTTCTTTCTTTTTTTTTTTTAGAAAGCTTTATAGCTAAGCCTAAGTGTTATCACGTGTCACAATAACTGTCATTTCTGCAGGATTTAAGATGGGTTCCCTACGCTACTTCTTCTCTTATCTTCCTCTTCATCATCTCCTTTTGTGGAGGACCTGGTATGTGCTCTACAGCCACACCTTAAGACTTCAGCTAATTTAATGAAAATCTGCATGTTCTATAGTTTCTTAAGATATAATTAGAAACCTTTGACCTTTCACAGTTTGTCATGTCACAGCCACAAACTTCGATGTATATATTTAGTTGGACTTAATCCGATTGACCACCACACTGATGTTCAGCATTATGAACTTGGAGGAGAAAAATACATGGTTGTCAACAGATTGTCAACAGATTAAAAGGTTAATAACTTGGTGTGCATTTGTATTGAGCCCCCATGAGTCAGAATTGTTTTCTGATGTATGTCTTCACTGGTTTCACACATTTAGAGACTGAAACTTCTGCCAAATTTTAAAGCAAAGCAGTCCAAGTTGAGTTAGATTGGAAAAATATCCAATGTAAGAATAAACTTTCAAGTTTTACACCACAGATCGCTAATTCAGGAGTTTTGATGTCAGTCGCTCTGCTGTAGCTCTGGCTGTATGTGTGTGGTTCTTAAGGGAAGCTGAACTCCAGTCCCAGTTCTGATTCCTTTGCAGTTTCCAACATGTTTACCTCTGGTATTGGTCATAGCTCACTCCATTTTCCCATCAACTGCAGTGTTTTTATTTTATCTCTGCTCAAAAGGAATCAAATCCACACAGCATAATGCTGCCACCGCAATGTCTCACTATGGAAATGGTGTTCTTAGCAAGATGTTCATTGTTAGTATTTTCATCAAAACTGTCGGCCAACAAGCTACGAGATCTCGATTGAAAAAAAGCAAAACTTTCTGAATCTCTGGGGCTAAAAGGCAGCAAATGAAAATGCATGAAAAAATATTTGCTTTTTCACTGCAACAGTGGATCTCTGTAGCTCCTCAGTTGAGCAGGACATTCAGGACTTAGACGATGCACTGATCAGTGCTCTGTGAGGTGTAAAGTTTATAACATAATACTGACACAACCTTCCCCTCATCCTTCTGCTGAGTTTCCCTTCATAATGGTTTGTTCACTTATGTTTTCTAACAAACATACAGAGGAAATATGGATTAATCCTGAATACATGCTAAACACAGATAGATTAATTTTACTACTGTAACCCTTGGTGGTTTCATAATAAAAATAAAAAAAAGGAACCATGTATATTTTTCGTTCTCTTTGAAATGATTTATTAATCCATGGTGATTTACCCCCAAATAATCCCAAATAAAACATACTGATGTTTGTCGTTTTATTGTGAGAGAAACAAGTGAGGTCATTATTTTAGGGGTGCACCAATACACAAACCCACACCAATACATTGATTTAAATGATAAATGATCCATCCATGCACAGCAGCATCTTAAAGTAGTTAATGTTTTTTATGTAAATGCCTGCTAGAGATTACAAATCTAATTGAAGTTATTTTGGTTGCTATCTGAGTTAATATCAGTATGGAAAACGTAGATAGACAGCTGATGTTTGATCATATTGATAGCAGCATTGTGGATTGAACTGAATTGAACTCCTTTGTGATTATCTTAGTATCATCAATATAACATTTCATCCTGATAAAGGCTGATTTACATCCCTGATTATTTGTGTTTCCTCTCCCCTTCAGGGGCGGCTACAGCTACACTGAGCAGCGAGATCTTCATTCAGTCTGATCGTCTTGCAGCTTTCGTTCTAATGGGGCTGCATCGTTGGTTCCTGTTCGCTGTGATGGGCCTAATTTTTCCATTCATCATTGTGTGTAAAGATATCCTGAACATCCAAACAATGTGTGTTAGAAGCTCAACATGGTTTTAACCAAGATTCTCCACTGTCCACCTTTCTCCCACAGCATGCATTCAGCTCATACTGCTTTCTGCTGTTTGCTGGTGTGTGCGTGCCGGGCAGCCTTTATACCTTCTTCCTCCTGCCTGAGACCAAAGGGAAGACTCTGGTGGACATTTCAGAGGAGTTTAAAGCCATTACGGTCTGTGGGAAATCCTTCTTGGAGGAAGAAAAAGTGGAGACCAAGTTGTAAGCCTGGGGCATCATAGGAGACACTTTAAATTGAAGAAAAATGCACTTTTTATGCAAAACATTTTTTTTTTTAAGATTTAAAGGATGCATTTGGGAATTTTTATCTCATTCAAATTTCCTCCCTTTTTCTGTTTAAGTCAATAGATTTTCAAGGATTGTTGAATGCAACTTTTCTACATCCAGTGCTGTACTAAGATGTGTAAAATGCTAATTATTCAAATAAATTATATTCTAACCAACAGCTTCTAGATCAGTGGAGCTGAGCTGTCTTTCATGCAACAAGTGACCAGGTGGAGAAACTATCTCTGTGTCTGTATCATGTTTGTCTCTGAGTGGTCAGTTCACTCCTGCCTCCCCCTTTCTAGTAATAAATCATCCACCGTTGCCTTTGGACTCTGCACTGTGTTGACCAGACACCTGTAAGGACTCAAATGAAAGGAAATCCTCTTTTTACAGCTTTGTGATGAAACTCAGAGTTCCAGGTCAAAATTCAGTGGTGATTGTTCTATTTACTTTCATATCTTCTTCTTGGCATACCATGCTCATAGTACATCTGCAGCTTTTTTTTTTTTCTGCAGTCATTTGGCACCAAATCAAAAAGGAAATTGTCACCAGAGATTGTAATAAAGTGCCTTGGGAAGACTAGGAACCTTTTTCACATTCCGTTATGTAACAAATACACATTTCTGTGTACTTTATAGGGAATTTATGTGACATGGCAACTAAATTACTGCAGAAATGTGAATCAAGTTTAGGTGTGTTTTTTTTTTTGTTACAAATAGAAATCTTACATGGCATTTACGTGCAATCTGTCCCACTGAGTCAAACCTGGCAGATCTACCTGTTACTGCAGTTTCAGTTGTAAGTCTTTAAAGGTATATCTCTTTCGGGTTTGCACATTTACAGGCTGGTTGGAGGTGGAGCATCTGTGAACAACGCAGATGCTCACTTGGTTTGGGATCAAAATTTGACTGGTTGATTTTAATACAAAAATCTAAGTTTGTCTAAATGATTTATTCTGTTTCTCTGGCTGTATGTCCTGATGGATAAAAAACACTCTGCTGTGTATTACACTGTTAAAACCTGTAGGCCAAACTTTATGTTTTAATGTCATATAATTAGGACACCTTCTACATTAAAAGGGACAATTTTCTATTCAAAAGTACTGAGCTTTTGCTGCTCTTTTTATATTGACTCCTGCTCCTCCAGGCTTTAGCTTCATATATGCTACTCTCTTTGCTCAGGGTCTCTGTTTCAGGGAAAATACTTACCTTGGGTTGTAGTTAGGGCATATTCTTCCTCTACTGGGTTAAACAAGTTGTGAGATGTTCAGAGCTCCTCAGAAAACCTGACCCTGATTTAAATGTGTCCTCATCTATAATCCTGACCTTTCTATTGTGCTGCTTGGTCGTCACCATACTGTTTATTCACAGGCCTTCACATTACTCCTGACTTTATACTAAAATGCACACAGGGGGACTCTGTTTACTCACTGGGCGACTTCTCTGTGTTATTTTAGGATACAAGAGGAAATAAGGGACGTGTTTCAGTGCCTGGATTAATTTAAGATCTTAAGTTATATTTATGGAGCTCATATAAGTATTTGGAGAGATATGAATTGTATAGTTGTATGGTATATCTGTGATTTCTAAATATGCAGTGGAGTAATTTACCAAATATAAAATATTTTTGCACAGTGACAAACCAAGAGTCATCACTAATTTATATCAAACAACTGATTGATATAATTTACTGAGACCTGAGTCTGAGCTTTGGGATCCTAGAGAAGCTTTCATGATACATTACAGTAAAATAGGATCGTCTAAAATGAATCCAGAGTGTGGGTGTATAATTTTAATTTATATTTCATTGTTTATCCAGCATAACCAGGCATGTTTACAAAAATGCAGTAGAGTAATTTAAAGGTAGATGGCGCCGTTACCTTTCTGCTGAGATTCATCAGGGGATCTAAAGGTGCACTGCAACTCTAAACTGTTTTAATCAGATGGTGTTTTTTGATTTCATGAGGAAATTTGAATCTATTGCTGTCAAGAAAGGTTAATTCCTTGTTTTAAGATTTTCATTACTCATTCATTTACATTACTGATATTTTAGATGTATTTGTTTTTCTTTGTTATGATCATTTGAAGTTCAGAATTATGGTTCTCTAACAGAGAATAATTAAGCTAAAGCTTTTATTTTGGTCACTGTCTAAACCACAGGTGTCAAACTGGTTCCAGAAAGGGCTGTGTGGCTGCAGGTTTTCTTTCCAACCAAACAATAGCACACCAGACTCCATTCATCTCATCAAGTCATCTTGTTCAGATTGGACTCCTTTGATGAGATGAATGGAGTCTGGTGTGCTATTGATTGGTTGGAAAGACAACCTGCAGCCACACAGCCCTTTCTGGAACCAGTTTTACACCCCTGGTCTAAACTATGCTTACGAACAACTTTGCAAATCAGAGTGAAGCAAATACAGTTAGATGCTGAGGAGATTGAATTATTCTCTCTCTAATACATGAGCTGTCTCTGTGCAGATGTCTTCAATGAATGGGCTTATACACAACACTGCTACGTGTAAGCATGTAAATAAGACGTAATGATGCTGAGCTCACATGTTTGACAAAAAGGACTCCTGATTGAATTGCTCCATGAATCTGAAGTTGATCCAAGGGGAAGAGAGCGAGGTGCAGATGTCAAAGGAATTTAGGGGGTCGGTTCAATAGCTTCAGTGTATTTTACAGGCCGACTCACTATGCACATGAACTGTTATCATAATCATCAAAACAGCATACTTTCCTAAACTGATCATTTAAAGCATCACATCACATGGTGCTTTTAAAAAGCGTCCATAATTATTTATATTTACATTTAAAAAATACTTACAGTATTTTATGTGGATTTATATGATAAACTGACATAAGCTGTAGAGTGGAGGGGAAGCAACACATCATTTCTCTTTTTGTTTTTCCTCCATTTGTACATGTGAACAAACAGGATCATAAAGGCCAAGGAGCAGAGTGGACAGGTCAGGGACAAATTTGTGGATCTGTTTCTAGTAATAAAACAATATCCCATCTGCCTGTGTAAATTCTCAGTCATCCAGGTCATGGAAACCACAAAACCTTTTGCTAAATTTTTTTCTAAAGACATTTTGACACCATCCAGAGGCCTTTTTCAATTATGTAGTTGGAGCGCTGATGTGCTTCTGCAGCATAGAGGTCCATCCTCCTAAGCACATTCCATATCAGATGCAAATCAAAGGTTCAACACATTTTCTGCCTGAGTAGTTGGGGTTGTTTATTGTGTATGAACTATGTGTTAGGCCACTGAACCATTATGTACATGTTTATGTAATTTCTTTGGAATGAGTTCCATGATGGAATTGTAAACGCTTGGAAGGTGAAACCCATTTCCTCCCCCTCTGTTCAGTGATGGTTTTTCCCTTTTTAACAGAGATGGCTTCATTGACCCCTCTTTCAAGCAATCTCTCCTCTCTGTACTGCAAAAAAAAGGCAACAAAAACTTGGTCTCCTGTTGAGCAAAACTGCTAGAGAGAAACTCCCATTGACAAGAAACTATAAAGGAACAACATAGAAAAAGAATTAACTCTGGGAATTGGAATACAAATCTACATATGGACATCTCCCATCTACCCATGCAAGTATGGCAGACCGTGCAATTAAGAAGCTATTTCATTAGTCGTGTTTTAAGGGCACATAAAAGAATAATACACACAAAATCAGGGTAAAAAAAAAAAACCCTGGGTATATTAAGTTAGCCAATCTAAATAGTTCTATTAGTGCATATAATCATAAGAAAGGGATCCAGTGTTACATTTCAGGGCAGGGGACGTAACAGGGTCCAGGACAAGTTCTAGAGGGGCACTGACCCCTGTTGGCCCCTGTCTAGACCTGCTAATAGTAGATAGACATAAAGTTTCCATTAAGTTGAGAAAAAGGATGCATGAGTCAGAAAGCTCAGGCCCATTAATGCCTGCTGCTCCTATCTTCCTCTTTCATCCTCCTCAGATTCAAGTAGTATAAGTGTGAAGAAAGATATATCAATGAGAAACAGAGTAATTGTAGATTGATTTTAGGTCTAATCATTTTAGCGAAATGACTGGAACTTTTGTTCCATTCATCAAAAATCTCCCTTTTTTTCTCAAAGATAATGGTGAGTAGACCAATAAAAAAAAGTATATAATTCATAACCAATAAGATTTCTCTTATAATCTTTTAGTTTTTATTCTTTTTAGTTAGTATAAAAAGTTTAGTAAAAAGAAGAAACATTTCATTTGAGCATTGCTACTAATAGATTGGGATATAATTGCAAAAAAAAAAAAAAAAAGTCCTCTTGTGCTAATTGTTTTAACATTCCCTTCATACTGACATTTGGTAGACATTGGTGTAATTTAAAGTCATATCTCTACAATAGGACATAAATTATCCTCAGTGCACACCTTTTAGGGCTGGCAGCCTGGTAGCAGCCATTTTCAGATTTTTTTTTTTTCTCTTTTATTCCCCTTCAAAGCCTAATCCCAAATGATTGCAAATCGCTCTGACCCTGCTGACCACTCTGCAATGAAAGTGTCAGGGCAATCCGATGGCGACCGGAACAAACAAGGAGGATTCCTGCCCAGGTCACAGAATAGACGGGATTTATATTTATTTTTGATCATTTCAAAAGCAGAATCCATTCAGGCCGTTTGAGTAACATAGTGCTGTATAATCTGGTAACAAAAATGCTTCATTTGAAATGGTGGAATGAGGATCAAGTACAACACCTGGTCTTCCTTCTTATAAATAATAAAACAGAAATATTGACCTATCTTACCTGTATATTTTTACCATCTTAAAAACCTTATATTTAACTGCCATTCTATCAAAGAAATTTACATAAAACTTAAAAATTTATTAATTTATTGTATTCTTGGAGAACGCCCCCCCCCCCCCCCCCCCCCCCCCCCAAAAAAAAAAAAAAAATAAATTCCACTCA